ATATAGGAAAAAAATGTATTCTTTCAAAAAGTTGCTAGACGATCTAAGCAATTGAAATTCATAAGAAAATTTTCCAAAATCTTCATTTTATACAAGGTGTGTAGCCAAATGTCAAAATTTGCTACTTTTATTTTTGGTTTACTTTCTTATAATTCTATTTCTATAAACATTTACATAAAGAGAGTTACCTATCGTTCATTCGTTTTCTTTTTCTATAACGTTATTGAAAAATAAAATGCAGTTTTTTTATATTTTGACAAAAACATGAAATTTCCTCGAAATACATGCATTTATATATTAAAATGGTAAATATTTGATATAGGGAAAAAATGTATTCTTTTAAAAAGTTGCTAGACTATCTAAGCAATTGAAATCCGCAAGAAAATTTCCCAAAATCTTCATTTTATACAAGGTGTTTAGAAAAAGGTAAAAATTTGTTACTTTCATTTTTAATTTCTATACATTTTTGGTTTACTTGCTTATAACTTTATTTCTATAAACATTTACATAGAGAGTTACTTATCGTTCATTCATTTTCTTTTTCTATAACGTTATTGAAAAATAAAATGTGGTTTTTTAAATTTTGGAAAAAAAAAATTCTCGGAAACATTATTAACTGATATTAGTCTATATTAAAATGGTAAATATTCGATATAGGGAAAAAATGTATTCTTTCAAAAAGTGGCTAGACGACTTAAGCAACTTGAATTCACAAGACAATTTTCCAAAAATCTTCATTTTATACAAGGTGTTTAGAAAAAGGTAAAAATGTGTTATTTTCTTTTTTAATTTCTATACATTTTTGGTTTACTTGCTTATAATTCTATTTCTATAAACATTTACATAGAGAGTTACTTATTGTTCATTCGTTTTCTTTTTCTATAACGTTATTAAAAAATAAAATGTGGTTTTTTAAATTTTAACAAAAAAATAAAATTTCTTCGAAACATATACTTTTATATATTAAAATAGTAAATATTCGACATAGGGAAAAAATGTATTCTTTCATAAAGTTGCTAGACTATCTAAGCAATTGAAATTCGCAAGAAAATTTCCCAAAATCTTCATTTTATACAAGGTGTTTAGAAAAAGGTAAAAAATTTGTTACTTTCATTTTTAATTTCTATACATTTTTGGTTTACTTGCTTATAACTTTATTTCTATAAACATTTACATAGAGAGTTACTTATCGTTCATTCATTTTTTTTTCTATAACGTTATTGAAAAATAAAATGTGGTTTTTTAAATTTTGGAAAAAAAAAATTCTCGGAAACATTATTAACTGATATTAGTCTATATTAAAATGGTAAATATTCGATATAGGGAAAAAATGTATTCTTTCAAAAAGTTGCTAGACGACTTAAGCAACTTGAATTCACAAGACAATTTTCCAAAATCTTCATTTTATACAAGGTGTTTAGAAAAAGGTAAAAATGTGTTATTTTCTTTTTTAATTTCTATACATTTTTGGTTTACTTGCTTATAATTCTATTTCTATAAACATTTACATAGAGAGTTACTTATCGTTCATTCGTTTTCTTTTTCTATAACGTTATTGAAAAATAAAATGTGGTTTTTTAAATTTTGACAAAAAAATAAAATTTCTTCGAAATATATGCTTTTATATATTAAAATGGTAAATATTCGACATAGGGAAAAAATGTATTCTTTCATAAAGTTGCTAGACTATCTAAGCAATTGAAATTCGCAAGAAAATTTCCCAAAATCTTCATTTTATACAAGGTGTTTAGAAAAAGGTAAAAATGTGTTACTTTCTTTTTTAATTTCTATACATTTTTGGTTTACTTGCTTATAATTCTATTTCTAAGCAATTGGAATTCACAAAAAAATTTCCCAAAATCTTCATTTCAAACAAGGTGTTTAGCAAAATGTCAAAATTTGCTCCTTTTATTTTTAATTTTTATAATTTTTGGTTTACTTTCTTATAACTCTATTTCTATAAACATTTACATTGAGAGTTACTTATCGTTCATTCGTTTTCTTTTTCTATAACGTTATTGAAAAATAAAATGTGGTTTTTTAAATTTTGAGATAAAAAATTTTTCGGAAACATTATTAACTGATATTAGTTTATATTAAAATGGTAAATATTTGATATAGGGAAAAAATGTATTCTTTCAAAGAGTTGCTAGACGATCTAAGCAATTGAAATCCACAAGAAAATTTCCCAAAATCTTCATTTTATATAAGGTGTTTAGCAAAATGTTAAAATATGTTACTTTTATTTTTAATTTCTATAAATTTTTGGTTTACTTTCTTATAATTCTATTTCTTTAAACATTTACATAGGGAGAGTTATCTATCGTTCATTCGTTTTCTTTTTCTATAACGTTATTGAAAAATAAAATGTCATTTTTTTATATTTTGAAAAAAAAAAATTTCTTCGAAACACATGCATTTATATATTAAAATGGTAAATATTCGATATAAGGAAAAAATGTATTCTTTCAAAAAGTTGCCAGACGATCTAAGTAATTGGAATAGACAAAAAAATTTCTCAAAATCTTCATTTTATAAAAGGTGTTTAGCAAAATGTCAAAATTTGCTACTTTTATTTTTAATTTATATAAATTTTTGGTTTACTTTTTTATAATTCTATTTCTATAAACATTTACATAAAGAGAGTTACCTTTCGTTTATTCGTTTTCTTTTTCTATAACGTTATTGAAAAATGAAATGTGGTTTTTTTATATTTTGACAAAAAAATAAAATTTCTTCGACATACATGCATTTATATATTAAAATAGTAAATATTCGATATAGGAAAAAAAAGTATTCTTTCAAAAAGTTGCTAAACGATTTAAACAATTGAAATTTACAATAAAATTTTCTAAAATCTTCATTTTATACAAGGTGTTTAGGAAAATGTCAAAATTTGTTACTTTCATTTTTAATTTCTATAAATTTTTGGTTTACTTTCTTATAACTTTATTTCTATAAACATTTACATAGACAGTTACTTATCGTTCAATCATGTTTTTTTTATAACGTTATTGAAAAATTAAATGTGGTTTTTTAATAAAAATAAAAAAAAATATTCTTTGGATATGAAATTCAAAGTATCAAAAAAATATAATAAATATATAGAAAAGTAAATAAATGTGTTTTATTTTATTTTAACTTTTAAACGAATAATTTCGTCATTATAGTAAAATATTTTGTATTTTTATATTTCAGCAATGCCAAGAAAATATTCGCTGTCTTACAGACATAATAATTTAAGTAAAAAAAAAAATAAAAGATTGTCTCAAACCGCGTCATCATCGTCGTTGTCACTTAGTGGCGAATGTGCATCAACAATTAATGACGCATTCGTTACGAAGGAAATAACTTCGAATGATGAGTGTGTATCAATACCTAATACGCAATCAGGTAGCAATAACGATCGTAATAATGACAGGGATAATGATGATAATAATGATAATATAAATAATGTGAATCTTTCTAACGACGACGACGATAGCGACGAAGACTATCACCCCCATAACGATGATGATGACGATAATAACAGCGTAGATGTTGATGACGACTCTCAGGATTTCGACATGGAGACGACCGCCACCCGCACACGCACAGACAAGTCCATCCTTAATTACTTTAAGCTAATTAAGGAAGGACCGACTGTGGTGTGCACGTGTTGCGGAGTTTTGGTTTTTCCGCGACACGCAAAATTTTTACGTAAAAACCTTTTGGCTCAACGTTTCGTAAAACGAAACGAGCCAAAAGAAAACGCGGACGACTTGTACGCACGTGCGCACATGGTGCCGGATAGCTCGGCACTGTGTTCCACGTGCTACAAGTCAATTTTAGGCCTAAAATTGCCGGTCGTTTCTATAACGAACAACTATAAATTAGACGATCCTCCATGCGACGCGATCAAAACGCTTAACGTATTGGAGGAGCGCCTAATTTCTCCCCGAATTCCGTTTATGCAAATACGGAATTTGGGGTGCGATCGGTCGAAATACCTGAAGGGTCACGTTTTAAATGTACCGACCGACGTGGGTAAGATGTGTTCGGTTCTCCCGCGAACGTTCGACGAGGCGGAGGTCGTTCAGATAAATTTGAAGAGGAGCGATCGGCAGGCCGGTGCCTATATATCGGAAACGGTCTGTCCCGCCAAAATAAAGGCGGCTCTTCAATATTTATCTGATCAACCTTTGTACAAGTCGAATAATATCGTGGTGGACTGGGCCAAATTACCCGCGACCATCGGTGGTACAGTTGAAACGGACGATCATCAACTTGTACCTTTTATTGTGCCATCACCATCGCCAATGGCGAACGCTACCGCTGTTTCAGTTTCCGAAATCGTTGAGGTCGTACCCCCCCCCCCCCACACAACACCGAACACGATGGTAACGTTAATGCAAATAATTGTCAAAACAATGACGGTTGCGAAATTGGCGACGAAGCTGTGGTTATCGCTAACGACGAAGATGACGATGCCACCACTGAGGACGTCCAGACGATGTTGTAGAGAAACGATGGTCCAATTTGTTTTGCCCCGGGTCAAAACCAAAAGCCTTTATCTTTTATAAGGGATCACCACGTGGAAGAATTAACCTTTCCCAGCATTTATCATGGGAAGGCCAGAAATCACGTCGATGCGACCGTCGTCGCGGACGGAACTAGCTCCGCCGCTGATACCGTCAACGATGACGGCCGGCGTCGGCGTAAAGGCGCATTTACATGGTTCACTTTGGATGATCACTTTGGATGAATCATCCAAAGTGAAATAGAAATGAATCGTGTAAACTAGTATTCATCGAAAGTGATCATCCAGAGTGAACATTGATTGAAGTTGAATGGGGTTCTACTTTCGTTCACTTTCGGTGATTCACCGCGGATGAATCATTAAAAGTGAACCGTGTAAACATCCACTTCACTTGCAGTGCGTAGTGAAGAACTGATTATTTTTAATACAAAGAGGAATATCTATCTTTTTTAGATCCCAAAACGTAAAAAAACGCCAACTCTGCATACGCAAGGCGTTGATGATACTAATTCAGAGGAATGTATAATAGAAGTTGAGGATACCACATCTGCGGTCGAATCTGTAAATGAAAATATACGTGAAGTATCTGTAAATGAGAATGTACGTGAAGTATCTGCAAAGGAGAATGTGCGTCAAGCATCTGCAAATGAGAATGTATGTAAAAGAGTCAGCGCACAGGGAGACTGGAAAACTCCACGTTCAAAAAAGAGCCGCTTTTCTGAGATTTCGGATGTAGAAAGGGCAATTGATAAATTATCTTCAATTTCTGCAAATAATTCAGCCACAGAGAGTGACAATGAATTTGATCACTTTTGCAAAAGTCTGGCAGCTCAACTTAACCGAATGCCTTTGGATCGCGCTTTACTTTGTCAGGAAAAACTGCTAAAAGTAATGACTGAAGAGCGAATGTATTTATTCAGATTGGAAAAATCTAGGCAGAATGTTTCTCAATCTACGCCACAGTGGACCTACTCCCCCTCGCCGGATGATGGCATGTCAAACTCGATAACATCCTATGAAATAAATTCCTATTCTGAGACTTCCACTCCCACGGCTTCACCATTTACTCACTTGACACATACTACTGACCTGTCGAATTCTGTACCAAATGCCACTCAAGAAGAAACATATGCAGAACAGCCAGCCGGGGATATAATATCCCAAGCCTTGTCTACTATTGGTTATCGGTAAATAAAATGTATTGTTTTATTATAATTTTTTCAATAAAATAAATGTGTGTTATAACAATGATGATGTACCTTGTTATTTTAATGTATATAGGTAACTATACTTACTTTTATATATTCTTCAAGAACCTTGTAAATGGCAGCCAATACTTCTGGTAAAAACCGAGAAATAGAACATTTTGGTATACGGTATAATGCTTCTAGTGTTGCAAAGCAATCTCCTGATGCAACATATCTCAGTACGATTTGCAGTTTTAGCCTGGGAGGAAGACTTTCTCTCATATTTGTGTTTTGCCTCCTAATTAGTGGCGTCACTTTCTCAAGGAGTTGTTCAAATTGCACTGTAGACATTCTTAAATGGTTTTTGAACATTGCTTGATCTTCTGCAATCCATTCTTCCAACAAACAAGTTGATGCCCCCATTATATTTCGTCGATTTACCCACGGCCTGATCCACCAACGCCTATTTCTTCTACGTTTTATTTTTTCCAGTTTGCTCGAAAGGTATTCACTAATTACCGCAATTCCTACACGTACAATTAGATTATTCGGTGCCATTTTGGAATGAACTGAATAATTCAATTTTGTTGATCAATGTAAACCTCTTTTTTTAAAATGGTCAAATTCACTCTGGATGATTCATCCAAAGTGATCATCCAAAGTGAACCATGTAAATGCGCCTTAAGGTTTCCTATGGCCAGGTAATTCGCCACGAGGTTATGTTTTATAAGAGATATTGCGCTACCCGGGCGGACAAATTGTTCTTTTCGTTTTTCCTAAAACAGACTTTGGACATTTTCAGTGGAATCGCATTGCATGTTCGTCAAACGACGACTACTGCTTCCTCCGTCAACGCCAACAACCTTAGCACCGCGAATACGTCTAATGCCGCCGCCGCTCCTATTAATTCATTTTTCCAAATTAACCCAACCAATGTCACTAACGTAAATAATAATAATAATCAACAAAATAAAAAAAGCGATACTTTAACGGCCGGCGACTTGCTGAATTCGAAATCGGTAGCGCAATTAATTGGTGCCGATAGAGCATTTTCATTTACGAAAAATATGACCACTTCGCCCGCCTTCTGGGCTGACGAACGGAAAAAACTCTTCGCCATGATCAGGCAATTGGGCATTCCCACGTTTTATATAACGTTAACAGCGGCGGACGCTCGCTGGCCCGAATTAATTTCCGTTCTCGGTAAGGTACTGCATCAAAAATCGTATTCCGACATCGAAATTAGCGAAATGTCATCGGCGGCGAGGACGCGTCTCATCCAAAGCGATCCGGTAACCGTCGTTCGCTATTTCGATAATCGCATTCGTCTAATGATGGCTGAAATGCGAAAACGTGACTTCTTTAAGTCATCCGTTGTTGGTTCACATCCCCCTCCCTCCCATTCCGATAATGAAACTTCTCTACCTCCTTCTTCACGACACAGCACTTCCGCTGCTGATCCCATTGACGCACCTTTTGCTAATAATACAAATCGTCCTGTAACCGTCGTATATCCTTTGGCAGATTATTATTATCGTGTCGAATTTCAACATCGGGGAGCACCGCACATCCACGGTGTTTTGTGGCTCGATGGAGCACCGGTGTATGACGGCACGAATGGTACCGACTGTTCGAAGTTTATCGATAATTTCGTGAGCGCTTCGTCATCTGGCGAAGGTCTTAGATATGCCACCAACGTGGAAGCGTTGATGGCATATCAGAGACATACCCATTCAAAAAGTTGTGGCAAACCTACGACAACTACTACCGCTACTGTTGGTGGCAGCGATGTTACCAATCGTAGTGCCGGTAGTTGTCGTTACAAAATTCCTTTTTTCCCGATGCGTACAACAATGATTTTGTGTAGCATCGAAGAGTCTTGCGTGACCGGGCCGGACCGGGCCAAGGCTAAGGCCGATCTCATCAAGATTCGCGCCTATCTAAATTCCGCATTCGATAGTGGCTCGTATCGACGGGAACTATCATTATCGATGAATTTCGACCAGCTATTAAATGAATTGGGGCTGACCGAATCCGCCTACGTTCTGGCCATTCGATCAGGTTTAAAAAGCGGCTGCCCCAAAGTTTTTCTTCGACGTCGCCTGGCCGATATCGCTACCAATAACTACTTTCCCAAGGTCTTGGACATGCATCAAGCTAACATGGATATGCAATATATAGTGGACGCTTATAGTTGCGTCAGCTATATCGTCAACTATATTAACAAATCCAGCTTGGGTATGTCCAAGTTGATGTCCGAGGCGGAGGCGCACATCAAAGCCGGAGATATCGATACCAAGGCAAAGTTGCGAAAATTAGGGAATTTGTTTTTAAAATCGTCCGAAGTTTCGGTGCAGGAGGCCGCCTACCACGTTTGCGGTCTTCGACTTACCAATTCATCGCGCAGTGACGTATTCGTCAACACGTTTCCCATTGACAAACGTGTGCGAGTTGCCAAAGGGAAGGCGGCGTTGAGGGAAATGGACGCTGCGTGTACGGATGTTTTCGAAAGAAATATCCTGGATCGGTACGTCGAACGTCCGGATTCGTTGGAGACCTTATGCTTGGCACGTTTCGCCACCGAATTCACGTTTTTTTCAAAAAATGTTAGGGGGGCGTTACCTTTGCGTAACGAAAGCGGGTACGTAAAGAGGATGGCCGCTGGCGGCCGTCGCAAAATTTTACGCTACAGAAATTACGGAGAGCTTTGCGATCCGGTTAATTTCTGTCACGAAAATGTAATGCTTTTCGTACCCTACAGAGACGAGCAACGCGATTTGATACGTTTCGTCGAAAACGGCGAAATCAAATCGCGTTATTTGTCTCTTCTCGCCGACATTCTTCGCGAAAAGCGTGATTTCGTTAAAATTCTACAAGATATGGACGAGTTGGCCGATCAAATTGTAGATGATAATTTGCATCGACCATCCCATCGACATCATAACACTACTGGTGACGTTATTATCGACGACGATCACAACGTCGGCGACAATGACGACATCGATGGCGCAGACAATTTAGGTAATGGTAGAAGAGAAGACAACGTGTTGCAAGCAATTTACGATGATTCCACGCGATTCGGAGGTGGTCGTAGCGGGGAAAATTGGGCCGACGACAGCTTCGATTTGTTGTCCGGACTTAGCTCTCAATTGCGGCGAATGGCGGCCGCTGGAGGCAGTAACAATGAAGCGTGTAGAGATTGTCAAAGTCTGGCCGACGAATTCGATTTTGTCGCTCGGGTCAATTGCCGTTTGCCACCACTTCCGACCGTGGATGAACGTAAATTGTTCAACATGGTGTCATCGTTGAATTACAGACAGTCGTTGGTTTTGATCCGAATATTGTCCGAGTTGTACCATTCGCATTTTTCCGAAAAAATGCATCAAATTCTAAACAACAACATCATCAGCCGTTATACATGTTTATATCCGGTGGTGCAGGTGTGGGAAAGTCTCATTTGATTAAAACTATAGAAATGGCCGTTCCCTATTATTTAGACAAATTGTCCAAGGCCTCTTACTATTTCTATAAAAAATCCTCTTCCTCGACAGCTGATCCTTCCTCTTCGTCGTTGTTGCAGCAGCAACCAGCTGCTCAACAACCACAACATCAGCCGCCGACTATCGCTCCTTCTCGCGATAACGTCGGTAAATATATGTATCGGGTATTTAACGTCGATAAAAGATCAATCGTACTATGTGCCCCGACCGGTAAAGCCGCATTTAACATCGGCGGTGTGACTATACACTCCGCATTCCGACTGCCGGTCAACCAATACGCCGGACCACTCGTTGCGCTTTCGGACGACGTAGCCAATACTCTCCGAACAGAGTTCAAAGGCTTGAAATACGTCATCATAGACGAAATTTCGATGGTGGGTGGTCGAACTTTCCATGAGATCGATTGCAGATTGCAACAAATCATGGACAAGTACGACAGTCCGTTCGGTGGCGTCTGTTATCGTTTTCGGTGATTTTAGACAATTACCACCCGTCGGTGACGGTTACATATTCAACCAGCCAAATTTCCGAGTAACTCCTTATGCGAACATCGTCGGTAAGGAGGGTTGGCTGTGGCAACTTTTCAAGTTCTTCGAATTGGTAGAAGTGATGCGACAGAAAGACGACGTGCCATTTGCCAAGGCTCTCAACAATCTGGCCGAATACAGGATGTCGGCCGATGATATTCGTCTGTTGGAGTCGAGGCATATTAGGGCCATGAAGGCGACGTCTGTCAATCCAATTGTCGCACTACCGCAACAAGAGGTCATACCTCGAGACGCCATCCGTCTATTCAGAACCAATGCCAGCGTACAAAGTCATAACGACACCGTCTTGGCTTTGCTCCAAGACGATGTCGCCGTTTCCGTGGCCGTTGATCTGGTGAAAGGCACGAAAACGGACAAGCTGAAGAAACAATTTCTCAATAAAGTAAGAAAATTACCTATCGGCCAAACGTTCGGATTGGCGTTGACCGTTCCTTTGCATGTCAACGCTCGATACATGATAACCGTAAATATCGATATAGTCGATGGTTATGTACACGGTGCGTGTGGTATTTTAAAGAAAATCCAACGGCGTGTACCGACGACGGCAGGTAATCGTCGTCGCGGTGACGGAGCGGTCGTTAGCTCACAACCGCCACCGATTTCCGAAACAAACGAGATTGACGTCGTGCGCGGTGAGGACGGAGAAGCCGCCGGTGATGACGTATTCTGCGTTTGGTTGGACTTCGGAGGTGGAGCGAACGACATTAGTTCCATCGGAAAATTAACCCGCGACAAATACCTGAGCAAAGTGCGTTTGATCGATGCGGATTCACGTCGTGGACTTTGTAGTGATGACATCCTACAAAATCCAACGTGGGTTCCGTTGTTCAGATGCACGAGACGTTTGAAAACTCTAAAGGGATTCAGTAACGTGTACGTCGAACGGAAACAGTTTCCCTTGACGCCAGCCGAGGCATTGACCGTTCATAAAAGCCAAGGTTCCACGTACCCGTTGGTGGCTCTCTGCTTAGAGAAATGGTTATGTAAAAGTCATCTGTATGTCGGTTGCAGTAGAGCAACCAAATCGTCCGGGCTGTTTTTATTCGGTAATAAATTCACGGTTCCCGTTAAAACGCGAAAGGTCGATGCTTGTGACAAGGAATTGGCGTCGTTGAGAAGTGACCCCGATCGACAATTGGACATGATTATGCGTGACATGTTACGGAACGAAGTCGCGGACGAAGTAATTTTTCCTCCTACGACGTCGATTGCAAGATCGTCGGCGACGAAGAATTATATTCGTCCCGACGTACGTGTGGTTTACCACAACGTACAAAGCTTCCGGAAACACGAACGCTTAATCACGTCCAATGCACAGTTTTGTCGTTCGGACATACTGTGTTTCGTCGAGACGTGGTTACTCGACAGCGATGTCGTTTCCTTCGAACATTATCGACCTGTTTATCAAATAAATCCGCATCAAAATTTTGTTGATTCTTCGTTTCCACCGTCAACCGTTCATGCTTCTTCCGTCGTTCCTCCTCCCCCTCGAACGACAACCACTCATCCGACAGGTGGACGAAAACCGTGCGGGATTTTAATTCTAACTAGGACGGATAACATTCACCGGGTCAATTTCGTCTCTGATAAAATCCGAAAAACCAACCGCGGGGTGTGTAGTTATATGCACATCGTATGCTGCGAGATTTTATCGGCTTTTTATATCTATATATTATATTTACCGACCACGGCGACGATCGAGGAATCGATGGAATTCTTGAAAGAATGCGTTAATTTCGACCGACCGTTGGTCATAGTAGGTGATTTTAACGTAGATTACGGGAGAAATAGTCTGTTGAAAAAATTCCTATGTGTTGATTCGTCGTTAGTTAATTTATTAGCTACGACAGATAGTGCGACAGGCCAACGCACAGCTACATCTACGACAATGGCGAATACGAGTATAGATTGGTGTTTGACCAATACGAATTTTACTTTGGCCTGTGTAGGGGAAACCATTTTTAGTCATCACAAACCTATCATTCTCAATTCTTATACTTCATCGCAAAATCCACGTTTCAGATTAATGTCTGATCTTCTACGTCGAAAAGGGTGGTTACCGTGGTCCACCTCCGATGCCGCACCTTCCTCTACTGTTTCGGCGGCAAATAATTTACCAAATATCATAAACATCGCAGGGAAATCGAAATCTTCTATTAATATTGTTTCGGTACATACCATAAAACCAGTAAATCCCGTACCACCGTCGAAGCCGTTACGTTCGTCGTCTAAGAAGACGACGAATAGTAAAAAAGCCGCTGTTGGGGCCGCAACAGTGGCTAAGTCATTAACATTTGACGAACCTTCTTCCACGACCTCACTTGCCGGTGCTGTTGATTTAGTCAACGTCAACGATCGACTGGTCGACGTCGATGTTGACGTTACCAATATTACACCCTCAACACACACAGGTAAAACAAAAAAACGACCATCATCAACACCATTAACACCCCCACCACGATCGAAACGATCAAAGAAACAGGAACAGAAGCGACAGCGTCAAACTACTATTAAAGACATTCCGAGTACTTCGACTAAAAAAGTTAATCCCATATCGTCGCAACTTTCTGTCGTATTAGACGCGTCCATCATATCTCAATATATGGAATCTTCTAATACCGATAAGGTAAAGGTTGTCGAGAAAGAAAACGCTCCATCCGTTACTTCCACTTCCCCCCGTCAACGAATTGTTACGCCGAGTAACAATTCCATGTTTTCTAAACGTTTGATTATTCCATTGGTTCCAATTGACGCCGCTGCTATAGGTCGTAAAGGTGGTGATGTTGAACAACAACAACGACGACGTTGTAGTCTTCGATTGTCGTCGTCTTCTACTAGCGGCGTGGATGTTGATGGCGGCGAATGTGAGAGCAGCAAAAGCGATCGTCGTCGTTCTTCGACGTTGATTGGCTTTCGTAATCGCTGCCTCCGCCGTCGCAACACCGGTCTTAATAATGCGGACGGAGTTTCATGTTATGCCAATTCTGCTGTCAATTGTTTATTGAATTTGCCACTTTTCGTTAGATACATTCAGGCAAGAAGATCCGAATTTGACAGTTTGTTTATCGATATTCTATCCATCCGATCTGACAATACGTTGGCAATTCGTCGTGCCGTAGGCGGCACATTTGTCAATCGACGCCAACAAGATTGTCAAGAATTTCTAGAGTCGTTGGTGCCTCTTTGTCCGCCCCAGTTTGTCGAATCGATTGAGGTACGTTCTCGAACGGACGTTATATGCGTCCGATGCGAGCATTTGCAAACGTCGAACGACGCAGATAACGTCCGATTGGGAAACGCGACTTTAATGGTACGACCTGCTGTGGCCGGCAAAAGTCCATACCGTTTCCAAAATTTATTCAGATATCGTACTTCAGAGCGACGAAATTGCGAAAATTGCGCCCAATCTTCTTCTTTTGTGTCATCCAACAATAGGGCGACAGTTTTCGACAATCGTATTCGCCTCACTTCGATTCATTCGTATTTGGTCTTATGGTTTGTTAATTACGACGACACCGGGCGAATTCAAAGGTACGATTGTTTCGGTGACGATTTCAATCCGGACGATATTGTCATCGATAACAAACGATTTCGTTTGAATTCTGCCGTCTACCATATCGGTGAGACGATGTCCAGCGGCCATTATTACGCCGTTTTACGTACACAGCACAGTTCATCGTCGTCTTCTTCGACGACGAAACAGGTGTCGTCACATTTATCTTCTTTAAAAAAAACATTACTTCGATAACTCATACATTTATCGGACACCCTGTATATTGGTAGTTATTTTTGGAACGTCAATGCCCTCTAGAACTTTTAGTTGAAGCATTTTTTCCTATCTCATATAGGGAAGCAGCTATCGTTCACCCACGCATCGTTGATACACCCTGTAGAAGAAAGAAAAAGAATAAAAACTGGGGCCGGCAAAGAAAAGAATGATTCTTATTTTTACAAGGTGATACTGTAGTGCATTTTAATTTTTAAAAACAATAAAAATATATTTTGAATTTTCTAGGATCGAGTCAGTGGGGTTAAAACCGTGTGCAGAAAGGCTTTTGCGCTATTCACAACATAAGAAAACATCGTATCCTGGTGTCAGCGTTCAATAGCGCTGGGCTACAGCGGCCACATAAACAATGTAACACAGACAAGCTCTTGTCCATTTGGTCCAGCTAGGTTGATTTGTCTGGCGAATTTGAGCGGTCACCGGTGCCCGCCCTGGCCTACAAGGACAAGACGTCAGCGGATACCGGTTACCTCTGTGTCGCTTAACCTGTTAACGAAACATCATCTAATTTACTACATTCAGTAATGTTTCAACAAAAAATATTAGATATTTGGCAAAACGGCTTACATATCCGTATCCTAACTTTCCAATCGCTATTCAATAACATAAAAAATGTATACCTGTAACAAAAATATGACGGATATCTTGATTTTCACATCATCTCGTATACGTTTATGTAAGTCGTTTTGCTTTTGGTGCAATAGTTACCTACTCAAAGTAGCAAACCAGATGAATTTTAATAACCTGTAAAGCCATAATATTTTACATTATACCCTAAATATTTAGTCGGCTAATTAAGGATAAACATTGAAAAATTGTTCCTGTTTCATCACCAAGGACCACGCACTTTTTATATTGATTTCTGGGTAATGTCAGAATTTGTTCAAATTTAAGTATGTTATTGTTCAGGTTATAATAGGCAACTTTCTTATGGACCCCAACTTTGCAGCTCTACAAGGTTTTCTGTCAGAAGGAGTTAAAAGTGCAGACTTTATATTTTCATATAATTCTACCACTCTTAAGTAATTTATTACCATTGTTGGAACATGACTTTCGATATTTTTTTGTTGTTTTTAATACCAGATTAATCAAGTAATTTGTATATGTAATACAGGGTGTGATAAAACTGCGTCAACAATTATTAAACAAAAACATGTTTAATGAAAAACTTGGCACCTATACCTAAAATAGGTATTGTAGAAAGTCTTGACCGAAAACAGTATTACTCGTATACTAGCTCTCTTTAACCAAGGATATATTATGTAAGGAGAACTGAAGGTCTCCCCAAACATTTCAGTTCATAATCCTTATTCTGGCTTGCCTTGGCAGATAAACCTTATGTAAATAGAATAAGTGGCAACATCTATTACTGTCATTATTCTGCTTCTTTTTGTTAATATTTTGCCAGTACCGTATGAAAATTTGGGTAATAGTTTATAAATATTCTGAAAAGAAGAATTTTTGTGGTTACATTTATTTTTATTTGTGCGTGTCATAGGTGAAGTTTAAGTAGAATTGTTTACTTTTCACGGCGGAACGTAAATTTACTTACACAATTAGTTGACAGCATATTATTGAAACAAAGAAAACTGATGGTGTCCATATTGGAAAAACACAAGAAGCATGGCAAAACAGCGAATCACTATTTAATGCAAATGGTGTGATTAATAAGTACATTCGACAGGCGTATCCATTATCTCCTAATATTTTTCCTAAAATATAATTATAGCAATTACTATTGCCAAATAGCAATAATTTAAGTTTATTTGCTTACCAGGTATTTCATTATTTTCATATTTTATTATTCTTTGAAACATTATCATGCATTAGGCCTGGATAGCGTACTACAATGTCTAATATTTCCATAGCTGGCCCAGAGGCCATCTAGAAATAGAAGGTTTTCAAAACAATACCTAAACAGTAAAACATTTTTTAACAACCTGAATATTAAGAGAAAATATTCCCTTTCTATTACGGAAAATTTCTCCTATATTTCTACCAGGATTTTTTACACGAATATGTGTTCTATACACGCGGAAACACCAGGGAATTGTACGATTTAATAATAGAATATAAACACTTTATTTTTTAAAGGTGCAATTTGCAATAACCTACCCTAACAATGATGGTAAGGAGTGCCCAAATCACCTATAAGGGTTCCTAACAGTTAAGGACTGTTGAAGGCGTCCTTAGTTGACTATGAATTGTAATCTCTACATAAGGTAAACTTAAGGATTAAGGAAACTAAAGGAAAAATATGAATACGGCTCTAAGTCCCGTTATTAACTAAGTCCTGTTGTATATAACAAAGTCCCGTTATTAAATAAAACACCTAAAATAGGTATTGTAGAAAGATATGACACGAAAACAATTTTATTCGTATTATACTTATAGCTCTCTATAACTAAGTACCGTTCTAAGCCTAGTTGAATTCACAAACAATTTTGCTAACTTGAATAAATGATCCATAGAACATATATTCTAATTAAAAACCAGATCTAATCTCAATAAAATGTCTATCTACCACTCCTCTTACTTTATCATATAATTCCATTTGTGTAGGTTTAGTAGGTTTATATTAAATTAAATACCTAAAGAACCTTATTTATACAGGGTTTTATTATTGTTAATAGGAATAATTAAAAGTTTGTTAGCACGAAAGGAGGCATACGCCCTCTACTTTTTTAAGCTACGCCCATACCTCTAACCTATGCGTCATTTTGTGAAGTCTTCTAACCTAACGCTGAAGAAGCCTCTGGAAACTAGAAGAACTGGACGAGGCCACAGTGGGGGGGGGGGGGGGGGGGAGTGACTATAATTCACGTGAAGAGTATAGATTAACGTGAAAAGAAAAATCACTTGCAATGGCAATGTCAAAAGGACCTTAGTCTATATCTCAGCTAATATTGGTCCAATTCAAACAAAAAAAAAAAAAGCTTTATAAAGGGGACACAACATAGATTATAATTAAAGAGAAAAATCAAGCGCAAAAGCAATGCCAAAAGGATCTTAATCTATATATATCAGCTATTATTTGGTCTAATTCAAACAGGAAAGAACTGTATTCAACTTGACCTGTCATTTATTGATCATTTAAAATAAAAATACATGATTGCCAAAAGGAAGTATATATATCCGATATTACAAGCTCGATTCAAACGGGGCAAACAGCATTAGCCTTATTCTATCATTGTCATTTACTTTGAAAAATATATGATCACTAAATAGGCATGATGGTAACATGTCATCCAGTTGTTTAACCCATTTTTTCCCATTGTTCCATTATTGGAACAGTGTTGTGTATTCCCAGTGTTCCAATATTGGAACAAACCATGTGTTACTCCCTCCAGTTTAAATATGCTCGCGTGGCCGTTCAGTTTGAACAGTAGACGCTTTAGTAATGTTTAACCAAGCGTACAGTGAGGTTTTATTTGGTTAGTCTGCATATTTCTGTGAATGACGCGCAAAACTGTAAATTTTTAACAGCTGACCTAATGGCGTCCAAAAAGTAAGTATATTTGCTAAATTTAGGGCTCTAATATTATTTGCACTGCAGAGGTCAGTATTACAGAATGTACGTTACATGTGTTTCACACCTTTTTAGAAACAAAGTGCAAATTTATAAATGGTGGGTCGTTTTTGTTCCTATATTGGAACACTGGCTATGAATGGGTACATTATGTTTATGTTTTGTTTTAGGTATTTGACTACTAACAATTTAATCTATTTGGTTGAAAATGAAGACTTTTGGTCTGCTGATGTCTACATTACTCCTCCAAACGATGGAATTGAGTCAGAAGAAGATTCTGACGATGACGAGGATCCTTTGGCAAACGTTAATCATCTTAGTGGGCGGCAATTGCAGTCAGAAGCTTGTGCTAAAATAACTAAACCGGACGGGGTAGTTTATCTTGAAGGCGAAGTTGAGGATAATAACCTAACAGATGGCAATGGAAGTGATGACAGTGATGATATACCTCTGTCTCAATTGTTGACTCGAAGAAACCAAGAACAAGCAAAGTCCAGTTCCGAACGACAGTGGAAGAAAGTTGACATAGATCCTGCATTTCCTACATATAGTTCACCTAAAGAACCGCTTAACGGCAACATATTTTCAGATCCTATTGCTTGTTTTGAGTCATTTTTTGATGGGCAAATTTGCAGTTTTTTGGTGGAAATGTTTGAAGTGTACGCCAGGCAAAAAGGCGATCATAATTTCACCACTAACAGAGAAGAAATAAAATGTTTTGTAGCAATTTTATATCTATCTGGACATTTACAAGTTCCAAGATGGCGTATGCTTTGGGAAGTTGATAGTGATACATATAATCCACTAGTTGCAAATTCAATGCGAAGAAGTAGATTCGAAACGTTAAAAAAATATGCACATTGTTCTGACAACAATAATCTAGAAGACAACAATAAATTTGCAAAATTACAACCCCTCTTCAATATGCTAAACGAAAGATATTTATCTCATGCTCCTCTTAGCGAAAAACTGTGCGTCGATGAAAGTATGGTGCCATATTTCGGAAGGCATGGAGCGAAGCAATACATAAAAGGAAAGCCTATTAGATACGGGTACAAAATATGGTCTTTGTGCGAAAAGTCTGGCTACCTCATACAATTTGATCCTTACCAGGGAAAACAAGCTGATATGAAGTACATGGAACTCGGACTGGGAGGGTCTGTCGTAATGACACTTTTAGAAAATCTGCCAAAGGATGTGCCATTTAAAATATATGGGGATCGCTATTTTTCTTCTTTAAAATTGGTTGCTTCACTAAAAAATTATGGTGTGGGATATTCAGGTACTATCAATGGTAACAGACTTGAAAACTGCCCATTGCGAAATAATTCAAATATGAAAAAAAGTCCAAGAGGAGGCTTTGATTTTTATACAGACCTCAATTCTCAAATTGCAGTTACTCTATGGAACGATAATCGTCCTGTCCTAATGGTTAGTAGTTGTGATCCAGTAAATCCCGTCTCCCAAGTTAACAGGTGGATATCAAGTGAAAAAAAGAACCTTCCTGTTTCTCAACCCTTCGTTATTGGTCAGTATAATAAATTTATGGGCGGGGTGGATCGAATGGATCAAAATATTCACAACTATAGGATTAGCGTCCGATCGAAAAAATGGTGGTGGAGTCTCTTCGCATTTTGTTTGGACTCGTGTATTCACAATGCCTGGCAGTGTTATAGGCTTCAACCACATTGCGAAAAAATAGATTTTTTGCAATTTCGACGAGAAATAGTTCAGATATATCTAACGAAGTATGGGACACCAGTGTCAACAGGAGGCCGCCCTAAATCGTCAAAACCATTGCAAAATAGAGTCCATAATCAAATACGATTCGACGGTCTTAATCACTGGATTGTTCCAGCCAAAAAACAAAATAGGTGTGCTTTGTGTCACAAGAACTCGACAAAAATGTGTGAAAAGTGTAACATTAATTTACATGACACTTGTTTTAAGGCGTTTCATTTGACCCAAACTTGATTTTTTTTGTATTTAATATTTAACCACATTTTGTTTTTATAATATTTTTTGATTAAACTGTTAAGAGTAGGAAAAACTGATTTGAGTTTTACTGATCCCTTCCCTTCCCAGTGTTCCAATATTGGAACATTAGGTTTTTGCAAAAAAAATTACAAAAACAAATTAAAATCTTCTTTTTTTCATGAAATATTATTTGTTTGTCTACATGCATTCCGAAATTTACACTTTTCAACACAATTTAAAACTTGGGCATTACAGGTGCTTACAATTTTTTAAAACCTGGGTAAAAATGGGTTAAGATACTACCCACTTCTAGCCGAAGAAGTGACAATGCACCGAAGAATCGTCAATGACCAGAACGGGTGGTAGTAGTAGAGTTGGAGATATGTATAAAATGTTTTGTAGTATTAGGAGAACAGAAATTTTGGAAAGGAATATATGCACCATATTTTAAACTTTTAAAATTCTTGATAGTTGACTTTTTGCGAATGAATCATGATTTGGCAGGTAGGTAGGGGAATGGTAGATACTGATGAGTCTAGCCTAGCCTCTACTCAACAGTAGAGCCTGGTCTTACGAAATAAAACACAAAAGTATTTGTATAAAAAAATATATTTCAAAACTTTGCGCAATTATTTTTATTTCTTATAATGTATGATAATAATAAAATTAAATGTGATAACGTCGTACCACATGTTTAATTTAATCCAGTTTCAAATTTGTGTATGTCATCTCGAATATATTGCTAAATCATATCAATGTTAAACTTATAGATTAGACAGTCAGTGGCACTGTATAGCAATATGGCTCGTTCTTGAAATTTTTCCTTCAATGAAAATCGTTGAGGAAAGTTTTAGAAATATCCAAATTTACAAACCCAAGAAAATTTGTTTATTAAAATTAATCTTTTGTTTTTTCATTTCAATTACGACAGTATTTTTATTAAAAACAGCTATGAAAATTTAGTTGAGAAATATAATAGCTTGCCCCATACCGTCCTGACTATCTATTCACTATCTTAAGTTAATGCCCTTATATTTCAATTTTCAATATAGAGATGGGTAGTTCCGGAGCTGTATAGTTCCAGGAACTATGTCATTTGTCGGAGACAGTTCCACTCTTTCCGCAAAACAAATCCTACCATGTTCTTAGTTCCATTCAAGTTCCGCTTAATCGTGACTGTGAAGTATCCGTCAGACCGAATAAAGTTATCAACTCTATTAAATACTATAAATGAAACATGTTTTCGAGAAATGGAACTGTGAACTGTCCCACTGGGCATTCCTTTCTGCGTTGAAATCGAGAATGCTCGATCGAAATCGAAGTAGGAACCTAATAGATATTTACTGAGAGAGAGAGAGAAATACTCATTAATGTTTATTGTTTGTTTGTTTGTTTATTTCATTCGTCATTGAAATTTCATAATATTTTCTGCTAAGTCGAAGTAGCATGTCTTTTTCGTTGTTATCGATGTTCGTAAAAATCGTTCGAATGAATGTATCATTATATTAATAGATTGAAATCGACTTAAATTATTTTATAACTATTGATTTTTTAATAGCTTCTAAAAATTTATAATAAATATAATTTTACAAAAATTAATGAATTTTATTTTTGACATAAGAATTATTTTTTTGCATCAAGTGAATAAAATGAAATAAATAATATATCGATTATTTGAATACTGTAATATTCATGATTACTATCGATTATGCTGGAATTGGGGGATTCCTTTATTTGTTTATTGTTTTGATTAGAAATTTTCACAGTCAAAACTTTTTTATTTTCATTTGTCGTACTTTGTGAAGTGAATGTATGTTTAAAAGTTATTATTTTAATTGAAATTAAATTAAAATAATGTCGCGCAGAAAAACAAGCTTCCTTTGGGAACATTTTACTGAATGCGAACCAAAAAAGCGAAATGTAGCTATTGTTCGCAAAATATTGCTTTTACTGCTGGAAGTTTGGGTAACTTGGGAAGACATTTAAAAAGAAAACACCCTATAATATTTACTAATATAACAGAATGTCAGCCACCCATTCAAAGTCAAGCCATCAGTATTACTTCAACAGATGAAACCAAAACGGAAACAATAACAGCCAATGAAAACCAACAAATAGCTACCAAATCTGAATTGAGACCACAAACCATTATTGTTCAACAAAAAATAGATGCTTTTGCTGAAAGTATAAAACCACTTCCGTCCAGAAAAAAAAAAACTAGATGAACAATTAATTGTGATGATTGCTAAAGAGTATCATCCACTACTTCTCGTAGAAGAGCCTGAATTTAACAAATTTGTTTCGCTGTTGTGTCCTTCCTATAGGTTACCCACTAGAAAAAGACTTTCGAAAAGTCTCCTACCTCAACTGCATTTAAAGTTGATGCACGAAGTCGAAAATTCAATTGCCAATGCACCTGCAATATGCCGTACAACAGACGGCTGGACGTCAATAAATAATCAGAGTTTTATTGCTGTAACAGCTCATTATATTGACACTGAAAGAGTTAAATTATGTTCCAATTTACTTGGTTGCTTAGAATATAATGATAGCCACACGGGTGCCAATCTGTGTCAGTTCTTGAGAGACGAAATGTTAAAATGGAACATTCAAAATAAAGTAGGGGCTGTAGTTAGCGATAATGCTGCGAATATTCTTTTGGCGGTACATCTAGGAGGATGGAGATCTATAGGCTGCTTTGCACATTCATTAAATTTAACAGTTCAATCTGGGATTGAACAAATTTCTGATACTGTGAAAAAAGTAAAAGATATTGTGGAGCATTTTAAAAGAAGTTCGAAAAGTATGTATAAATTACAAGAATTACAAAAACAGATGGATATGCCCGTTTTAAAATTAAAGCAAGACGTTTCGACTAAATGGAATTCTACCTACGATATGCTAGATAGATTCTTGAAGACAAAAAACGCAATCATTGCCACAGTTGCCTTAGTCAAAAACGATTTATCTTTGACTAATGAAGATTGGGTAGTCATAGAAGTAGTACCGGTTTTAAAAACATTTATGGATATAACAGTCGAAGTTTCCACTGAGAAGAATGTAAGTCTTTCTAAGGTAATTGTTTATTGTCGGCTTCTTAGGCGGTACATTGATCAATGTTTAAATGGAGTGAGAGAGCAACAATACTCTGAAAATGTTCATAAATTATTAACGGTTCTTCATGAGCAAATTCACAAACGTTTTTATAATTTAGAAAAAAATGTACTTTATGCAGAATCTACAATATTAGACCCAAGGTTTAAAAATAAAGGATTTCGTGATGAATCAAATTATAAAAGTGCATTTGAATCTTTAAAATTAAAAGTTGGGGTAGCAATAAATATATCATCTACAGAATCATCAGCTGCAAGTACATCTGCTCAAAAAGAGGTGGCTCCTGTAATATCCACTTCTACATCTGCGGTAAATAAGACAGACTCTCTTTGGAATGACTTTGACATGGAAATTGCCAGCTTAGTGCCAGAAAATACTACTGCAGCTGGAATAGTTGAACTCCAAAAATATATAAATGAGCCCATTATAAAAAGATCTGAAGACCCTCTACTTTGGTGGCACACTAGAAGATGCGTGTATCCTATATTGTATAAATATATGTTAAAAAGACTTAATTTAGTGGCAACTTCAGTTCCTTGTGAAAGAATTTTTTCCAAGGCTGGCCTAATTCAGTCAGAAAAGCGAACGAGGTTGTCTTCAACAAAAGTATCCCAATTACTTTTTATTGGAAGTAATTTAAAGGAATAAAGAATAAATTAAAAATTTAATTTGAATTTTTTTAAATACTGTTTATTTTTTGGCGAATAGTGTTATTTTTTGTTTTTGATACCTATCATTTTGTATTTTTGTTTTTATTTTTGTAATAAATCACCTTTACTTTGTTATTGTTTATTTATCATTCTCTTCTTAATTAAATCGCAAAGCAGTATGATAACTATGAGATAGGAAATACTTGAACTAGATAGTTCCATGAACATGTTTCCCGGAACTAGTTCCATCTGGCAAAAGAATCGTTCCATGCTCAATCCATCTACAGCCCGGAACTACCCAACTCTATTTCAATAGCTTTACCATAAGGGTTATTAATAAATAATTTATATAAATTTTATCAAATTCATTCTTACTTTCTTTTCTTAATTCAATGTATTTATTAACCAGTCACATTTTTGAAATTTTAAACACCGATGAATTTTTGTAGTGAATAACATACTTTTGTTATCACACAAATAATTTGGAGATAGTCGAATTAGAAGCTGGTAGAATTAAATGCTGCGGATAAAGTGGTAGATCTTTATGAAATTAAAAAATGTTCTTTGAATATTCTAAATCCACTTCTAAAATGTAACCATAGTCACTATCATCAGGACAACTCATAATAATTTCTTTATAAAGTTCCGAAAGAGATATCCATTGGAAACATCCATACGGTAAAAAGTCACACATAACTGTACCATACAAATTATTTCTGTCAAAGTACATTTAATATGATGTTGGTATATGAAGATTACCCATATAGCTATTATTAGCTACTTCATACCGGTTAATGCACTGAGAAATATAGCCTCCAATTCCTTTCTGAAAAAAAAAAAAAATAATAATTTTAATGTTGGTCAACAATTCCAATTTCGCATCGGTTATTTTTAACATTGCCTCAAATGATAATCCCGTAATGTGAAATAATGAAGACAGTCCAATTCGTAAGTTTTTACATACATTGTTCTAAAGTTTTCAATACGTCAGTCTTTAAATACAATTCAGCGTATTCCTTTAGATTTTTAATGTGTTATTTCCTCATTGGTGATTTGACTATAAAGCTTGCCTATTGATGGAAAACAAGTGTCCTGTAATTTTTCATAACTATCAAGTGGAATTTTGAAATGTCTCTATAACATTTCTTTGTAATTACTTTTTGTTCATCATTCGAATAAGAAGATAATTTATAAGACAAAACTTAAAAGAATCTATAAATCTAAAATTCATGTTTGTATCTTTAATGTATTTTGTAAAGTATAACATTCCTGATTTAAAAGAAGTAACGTTATAATTCCTTCAATTTCAGAACTAAGATCGTTGATTATAAAATGGCTATCATAACCGGATGAGTTGTGAAAAACTACAGGTATTACGTGTGAATTTTGATATTTAATATTACACATATTACTTTTTCATTTATATTTGTAATGAGTTTAGAACAAATATGACAAACAGAGGACAAATAAAAATCATTCTCTTCTTTTACAGTTAGTTAAAGGAGTTAAATTACGATGTCTTTGAAGTAAATTTAAAGACATATTTTTAGCAAGTTATTACAAAACACACATGGTAATCAAGACCAAAGTAATTTTTAAAATTTGACTAGGAATGATCATAACTTGTTTTGAAATAATAAGCAATACTAAAGCAATACTAAAAGGTTCATGTTTGTTAGATATATATTTTTTGGACAACTTCTGCATATTATTTTCAAATGTGTTTATCAAAAGAATATTTTCCAGATCAGCATATATAACAAAAGGTAAAAGTTCCTTATTTTTAAAATTATTAAATATCAAAAATGTGTTTGTTTCATTAGGTACTACTTTACTACCCAATCTACGACAATCTGTTAAATGGATTTTCAAATAAGTAGAGCTACTAAAGTAAGTTAAACATCGATCACAAAACTATTTACGATTTTTTGAATTTGTCATTTGGTTTCTTACTAATTTTGATAAATCCTTAATGTAAGTAAAATTAAAAGTCCTGTTCTTAATATTATTTTCATTTTCACTTCTGTTATCATGATTATCAACATTACATAAAGTATCATTATTACAATTTATCAAGTAAATTATTACGTGGGTAAAAGTTTGTTTTATTGAGTACTAATTGGTAAAATTTATTTCTTTTTCTAAAAAAATTTATTCTGTTTATTTAAATTTTCAAATTTCAAATATTTTTCCTGTCCATTGAAAAATTAATGCTATCATTCTTTAATACTTTGTTAAAGTGCCTACAGGATGACGTTCCTATAACATTTTTAGATATGTCGGCTGGTTCTTTAGCTGTCCCAACTAACAAAAGAAAACAAAAATGATCAGACTTTTTAATATAAGTAACAATCTTTGTGTTCTTTACAAAAGTTGGTAAAACAACATAAGTTGAAATATCTCCTTGTAATGGATTATATTTATATTATTTACTTTTAAATGTAAAAGTTGTAACAATGCCCATCAACTATTCCTTTCTTGAAATTCTTCAAATTTTGCCAACATTTTATTGCAACAATACATTTTATACCAATCCTTTAAATTTGTGTTCAAATCAATTATTTCACTTTTGTAAAATGTTTAACAGAAGTTTCTCCACCTTGTGGTTTAATGAAAATGGCATAAAATATAACGTTTACTTCTAACAAAGATCTTTTTTGTTTTCTAATTTGAATGAAAAAACTTTTAAATATTTTTGGAAAAAAAAATTTAGGATTTTTAATTTACTATATTGCCAGTAGTAAATTTTTCAAGATACGTTTTTAAAATTAACAAGTTTAATTCAAATCGCGAAAAATGTTTAACACAATCTAGTATATGTTTTAAACATTTATTCAACAACAAAATATGTTTTTTTCAAAATTTTTACCTATAAAATATGTTCTTTCAAATATTTACTTACAATCTCAATCTGACTAACCAATTCATTGAACACTATTTCGATCACTTGCTGAGAAGTGGTGGTGGAGGAAGAACAACTCATCTTACTTGTGGTCTGCTTCGATTTGTTAATGAAAAATAGGATTTTTGGTCTCTTATATATACAATACCAACAAAAAAATGCATACGTACGCAGTACTACGTACAAAGATAAAACAAAGTTGAAACAGAAAACAATAGAATATATGAAAAATTCATATTTGTACCTACACGTTTGCTTGCAACAAAGTTGTAGAATATTGTTAAGGAAAATTATCAAATTTCAAAGTGTCAAGTGAAAAATGGGTTTTTGCATTTTTCCTGGTATAAATATTGATAGAAATTTTTAGCAGTTATTAGTTTAGTATTCAATATAAAAACTACTACTACTACTACTACTACTACTACTACTACTACGTAAATAATGGCAACCATTCAAATCAAATTGATTACCGAAAATAAAGTGAATTTCCCATTAAAAATGACGCTTATTGTAACGAAACTACTGTTTCAGTAAGTATATTTATTATAGAATGAATGAATGTCCGTCTTATTCAAAAAATTGATTGAATGAGAAGTTAAGTTTTAAATAATTTTGTTATTTCTGTAATCTAAAACCTGTAAGTCTGCTTTGGTTCGTTATCATTATACACTAATAATAATTGGTACATTCCCAAAAATATCTCTAACAAATTCATTTATTCATATTTATTTTTATTTATTGTAGATATGTAGTAAAAGAGATGACTGCTAAGGATGATAACATTTTTATTTCCCTTAAGTACTCACCAAGAACACAAACATTAAAGAGGAAGTTTGGAAATCTACCCATACAGTATAAGCGTGTCAAGATTAAACAACAAATTTAGAGTTCTCGAAAAGGTGGTAAAAAGGTATCAATTTAACCTTTTAGATGAAGAGTCTAATACGCTTCAACAACAGCACCAACAACCACAAATAACTGGGAAATGAAAATTATATTTTGAAGCGCTAGTAATTAATGAAGATGATAATAATAATGATAGTAACATTGATTACCAACATCATCATGAACATCCACACCAAGATCAAAACGAATAGTGCCATTGGCAAATTTAGACCCGTTTACAGAAGATGTCTGATATATTAACAATCCCTTATGGATATATAATTAATTTTTATATTAATATATTTTTCATTTTTTTACAGATCATATGTAATAACTAGTTTTAGGTGATACATTTATAATATTGAATAAAACAAATTTAATTCAAGTTACTACATTTTTATAAATCCAACTATTTTCTGAATTATCGAAAGCTAACCATTTAACATACACTTTATCTCCTTTCTTTTCAAGAATTTTTCAACTAACAATAAGTACATATCGTTATGCTTCACTTTCTGCAATTGTTCTTTGTAAAATCCAACAAGAATATCTTCTTCTTTGTGATCTTTCAATAAATAGGTTATGGGATTGGTTAAATTTACTTGACGAACTGTAAAAACCTCTGGGGACCAACTCAGTTTGTATTTTATATCAAACACACCTCAGTATTTTGAAACACGAATATGGTCATCTACATGAAATTTATGATTGTCTAAATCATCAACTCTTTTTATACGATTGTAAACTGTGTTTAATAAGTAGATAAGCAAAGCGGATTCAAGAATCAAGCCCCCATGTATTTCTTATGAGGCGCTACAAGAATCAAATTGCGTATTTTGCTAGAGCGGGTTCAAGAATCAATGAGGCGCTACAAGAATCAAATTGCGTATTTTGCAAAAGCGGGTTCAAGAATGAATGTATTTCTAATGGGGCGCTACAAGAATCAAGTCCCAATGTATTTCTTATGAGGCGCTACAAGAATCAAATTGCGTATTTTGCAAAAGCGGGTTCAAGAATCAATGTATTTCTAATGGGGTGCTACAAGAATCAAGTCCCAATGTATTTGTTATGAGGCGCTACAAGAATCAAGATTGCGTATTTTGCAAAAGCGAGTTCAAGAATCAATGTATTTCTAATGGGGTGCTACAAGAATCAAGACCCAATGTATTTCTTATGAGGCGCTACAAGAATCAAAATCGTGTGTTGGGCTTAATAAAACTTATGGGGGTGTGTGGAATGCAGATCTAACCTCGCTTGTGACGTAATAAATGAAATATAACACGTGTAACCATATATGGAATGCCTAATAATTAAACTCGCTGACCGAAGAAATGGATCACGCACGTATGACCTAATATGGAATGGTTAAATTAAGACCGTAGTGACGCAAGAAATGAAATATAACACGTATGACGTGTATAACACATGCAACCATATATGGAATGCCTAATAATTAAAGTCGCTGACCGAAGAAATGAGTCAACGCACCTATGACCTAATATAGATGCCTTTTATGGAATGGTGAAATTAAGGAAAGTTACGAAGTAAATAGAAGGCGGTTTTCCTCGCTGACGTAAGAAACGAAACATGTGTTACCTTATTAGGAATGGAACGAACTGCAGTGACTCATGTGAAAGACGTGTGCTGGAATGCGATTTTCTAAATGTAGAGCCTTTTATGGAATGGTGAAATTAAGCGAGAAAGTGACGAAGTAAATAGAAGGCGGTTTTCCTCGCTGACGTAAGAAATGCAACATGCGTTACCTTATTAGGAATGGAACGAACTGCAGTGACGCATGTGAAATAAAAAACGTGTGACCTTGCACCGTACTGGTATGCGGATTTCTACATCGAGAAATCCCTAATGGGGCTCGCTGACGCAAGAAATGATATAAAATACATGTGACCATATGTGGAATGTGGTTCTAACCTCGCTTGAGTGGCGCATTTTAGAATGAAAATATCGGGTGCAACAGTGACGTAATACTATAAAAAGAGTGGTTTGGTAATTTTTATACGCAATTAAAGTTTATCTGCAGTTAGTGAAACTTATTTCTGTTATACGTGTAACAATAAACTTTACAAGGTAACTATTAACTATTTTTAAATTAAAGAACAATATCTAGAATATATAATTACATAATTGTAGATGGATCTTTTAGAAAAATTAAATAGAGAAGCTCAACTTACCGGTAAACCGGTTATTAAATTATCGGAGTTGGAATTAAATACACCCCATCAAATTTTATCACTGAAATTTGTGAAAACAAAGTACGGACCATCTGCATTGGTTGAATTGGAAACACACGTTACTTTTCTACCAAGACGAATGAATGCAGTATTGAAAGGAGAGGAATCCAAGTTTAGCAATAGGGAGTATTGTTTGACATATCAAGGAGAAATTCAAATTGGAAAAGCACATCCGGCCCAAAAATTTGAGATTACTAAAAAAGAAGAGTAATGAATACGCAGTATTGTACAACATATAAGCAGTATTTTTGTTTTTGTGAAAGATCTGTAACAGTGCATTCATTTTTATCAAAACTTTATCATTTCCAAAATTTAAGTTATAAGGAACCATCTCCAAAAATAATTGATTCTCTTTCAAAATCAAGTGAGGGTTTTTTATATATTCAAATATTAAATACGAATTTATATTGTGCGGAACCTCTAGATAAAATACCTACAACCGATAAACAATGAATTCTGATGAAATTTGTTCTGTTAGTGATGAAATAATTAAAAAATTTAGAGAGGTAGATCATATATTAAATACAAAATTTAGTGTAAGACGAGGAGATATTTGGAATAAACGTTTAAAAAGTAACATTAGGTTATGTAACAAAGCTATTCGAAATGCAGATATTTCAGTTAGAGCTCTACGAAAATTACAAACAAATGTAGGTCATTTAAAAATTTTTCAAAAGAATATTCAGAAAGTAAAACAACGTCATTTAGGAAGTGGGTTAGCTAATGAAACAAATAAATTATCTAATCGAGTAAAATGGGAAGATTTAATTTCTACATTTGAGGGTAGAGTTAGAACCGGTATTATTATAAATTTGAAGCATAAGGATTTAACTCAATTTTTAAATGATTCTTTGATATTATTTTCAAAACGGATTAAAAAACTGCTTCGTTCAAGGCCCACACTAAAAGTTAATTGTTGCTTTTGCGGGGAATTTCTAAAACAGGGTTCAGATGGTGATAAAATGGACTTTAAATATTTTAATACGGCAAATGCGGCAATAGATAAAGGAACGAATATTGCTAATTGGTTTCAGAACAATGTCATAGATAAAATTACTAATAAATTATCTGAATTTAATGAAAAAGATAGTGGGTGGGCTTTAGCTAAAATTATTTCATTAGAAGTTAATATTAACAAATTAGAGCCTAGTTAATAAAGGTTCGTCTTTCATACAATTACCTAAACAAATTTTAAGTAAAAGGGCATGTGTAAATGTTCAAAACAATGATGAGGCCTGTTTTTATTGGTCGGTTGTTAGTGCTTTATATCCTGCTAAACAAAATAAATCAAGAATCTCTTCATATCCTCATTATAGTCAAGTTTTTAAAATCAATAATTTACCATTATCCTTAAAAAATGTTTCTAAATTTGAAAAATTAAATAATATATCTATAAATATATTTATATTAGAACTAAATAAAAAAGAAATTTCTCAGAAGTACCTACTAGGTTAACTAATACAAAAAAAGATAAACATGTAAATTTACTCTTAATCCATAATATTTATTAACCTAAAATTAATCAATATGAGCCTTTACCTATTGATAATGAAAATGTTGATATTAAATACCATTATTGTTGGATTAAACATATGTCTAGATTAGTGGGTCAGCAAATAAGTCAAATTAAACGTAAAAAAATAATTTGTGACGGATGTTTAAATTATTTTTCTAGTGAAGAAAAATTAATTACCCATACAGTTTATTGCGAAAATCATAATAAATGTAAAATTTCTTTTCCTAAAAACATGTCAATCAAATTTCAGGATTTTGTTTATAAACAGAAAGTTCCTTTTATAATTTACGCTGACTTTGAGTCAATGTTGCTGCCTTTTGCTGATAAACCAAATTTAAAAATAAAGTCATAAATATCAACAACATAAAGCATATAGTGCGGGTTATTTTGTAAAATGCTCATACGATGACAATCTTTCATATTACAATAGTTATGAGGGAATAGATTGCATGGATTGATTTGCAAATCAAATGTCAGATGTAGCTAAAAAAATTTATACTCAAATAAAAACCATTGTTCCCATTGTTATGGGCCCCAACACTGAAACTTCAAAAACTTGTCATATATGTGAACAAGCTTCTTCTGTAGATGACGTCATCGTGCATGACCATGACCACTTTACTGGTGAATTTAGAGGGTTTTCACATCAAATATGTAATTTGCAATTTTCAAAAAAGTTCGTTGTACCAGTCGTGTTCCATAACCTCTCAGGATATGACAGCCAATAAATAGGGAAAAATATATTTCTTTTCCACAAAATGATTCTGAAAACAGCATTAAATTCAGATATATAGATTCTCTTAGATTTATGGGTGCTTCTTTAGAAGAGCTTGCCTCCTCATTAGAAATAGGCAACTTACCAAATTTAAAACGCTAATTTAATGGTTTAGACCCCGAAAAATTTAATCTACTTACTCGTAAAGTAGTATTTTGTTATGATTACATTGATAGTATGGATAAATTAAAAGAAATAAATCTGCCTAGCATTGATAAATTTTATAATAAATTAATGGATACAAATATTACAAATCTTCAATATGAACATGCTAAAACCGTATGGAATCAATTTAACATTAAAAATCTTTCTGAATAGAGTCAGTTATATTTAAAGACTGATATTATGTTACTTGAGGATATATTTGAGACCTTTAGAGTTAACTCTATAAAAACATATGGTTTAGATCCAGCATGGTACTATACCATGCTTGGATATACTTGGAGCTGTATGTTAAAATATACAAAAATAGAATTAGATTTATTGGACAGTGTTCATAAAATAATGTTTATTGAAACCGGTTTAAGGGGTGGAATCAGTCAATGTTGTTGTCGATTTTCAGAAGCAAATAACAAATACCTTCCGAATTATAATTCAGAAACCCCCTCTAAATATTTGCTATATTTAGATGCAAATAATCTTTATGGGTGGGCTATGTCTGTTTACTTACCATATGGAGGGTTTGAGTGGGCTGATACTAATATTGATATTACACAAATACCAGATGATTCTCCTGTGGGATATATATATATATATATATATATATATATATATATATATATATACATCCCACTATCATTTTGGCATCCTTTCATAACACCTTAATTTGGCGTCCACTAGAAAGAAACATATTTTTAAATATTTAGCCGTGTATATAAATCCGGCGCATTTTTTAATACATGAAACTCATCTTAGATTTTTAGTAGCGTAAAGTTTACTATATACGCGACTTTTACACTAAAACGCATTTTGGCGTCCGTACAAAAAAAAATTAAAAGTAAAATCATTGCGACTACCAGCAACGTTGCCAAGTTTCTTAAAAGAAAATCCAATCATTGTAACGTCACATATTGTAGATATACACAGACGATGCATCAACCATTATTTAAAACCCCAACGTTTAACATAATTACATATTATCGTTAGTATATCTGAAAGCTTTTAATAATATCATCCTTTTAACGTCCTGTACCTAATGTATATAACATAATATGTTTAAATATATAAATCACTATGGCGTCCTCTTAGTTATTTTTAAAAACCGATCATTCTAGCGTCAACGTATATGAAAAACATTTTACCTTAATAATCATTTTGGCGTCTCTATCATGCAGTGTATATAAAATATATTTAAAATGTTCAATCATTTCGGCGTCTCGCTAGTTTTCTTTTAAAACATTCTAACGTCCACATATACATATATGAGAAACACTTCACCTTATAATCATTTTGGCGTCTCCATCATGCAGTGTTTATACAATATGCAGTCATTATGACGTCTCACTAATTTCCTTTTAAAACCGATTATTTTGAGGTCCACATATACAAATATAAGAAACACTTTACCTTTATAATCATTTCGGCATCTCCATCATGAAGCGAATAAAAAATATATTAAAAATTTTCTACCATTTCGGCGTCTCGCTAGTTTTCTTTTTAAACCGGTCATTCTAACGTCCACATAATATATTTGGGAAACACGTCACATTTACAATCATTTTGGAATCTCCAAAGTGGAGGTAGGAATGTTAGTAGATCAACCTGAAATTTTCAAGAGAAATCAAGCCGAATCAGAGGGCAAAGTCTATAGATTTTGAAAAAATCTGGTATGAATTGGGAAACTTAAAAAAAAAATCATAAATCAAAAACCAAAATCAATATCCACTTGAAATTTCTAGGAAAAATCAAGCTCTTTTAGAAGACGAAGCCTATTCATTTTGAAAAAAATTGTTTTAAAATTGGGGGTTTAAGGGGGGATTGAAACAAGATCTATAGGCGGACGAAGCCTATAATAAAAAATGGGGGTTAATGGTAGTTGAAATAAAAATATCGTAAATCAAAATTGAAAAATGAAAAACGATATCAACTTAAAATTTTTAGGAAAAATCAAGTTCTATAAGGGGACGAAGCCTTGTGATTTTGAAAAAAATCTGAATAAAAATGGAGGGTTTAAGGGGGATTGAAACTTAAAAAATAAAACAAATCAAAAACTAAAATTAATATTAATTTGAAATTTTCAGGAAAATCAAGCTTTATCAGCTTTATTGATTTTGAAAAAATTTATTAAAAATGGGGGTTTAAGAGGGAGTTAAAACAAAAACAAAATTAAAATCAAATCAAAAACGAAAAACAATATAAACTTGAAATTTTCACTAAAAATCAAGATCTATAGGGGGACGAATTCTATTGATTTTAAAAAAATCTGAATAAAAATGGGTGGTTAAGGAAAGATAAAATTAAAAAAAAAATCAAAAACGAAAAACGATATCAATTTAATTTTTTTTTGAAAAATTAAGCTCTATAAGAGGACGAAGCCTATTGATTTTTAAAAAATCTGTATAAAAAGAGGGGGGTTAAGGAGGTTGAAATTAAAAAAATCCGAAAATTAAAAACGAAAAACAATATCAACTTAAAATTTTTAGGACTAAACAAGCTCTATATGGGAATGTATTTAAATAATCGTTACTCTAATAATTGACATTGCTTGGCAAATAGTTGTTGAATATTGCATATTATGTGTAACCGAGGAGAACCCTTAACGCATAAATATTATTATTAAATTTGGGTATTTAATTGTAATTTTTTCATTATTTACCCCCAACCAAAGTGTCTGTTAATATTACTTAATTAGGTTAGGCAATAGGTATTATACTCGTAGGTAAGGTAACGATTTATTAGCAAGAGATAATCATTTATAGCA